AATTTTATTGATTTGAAAAGCTAGGTTGAATACTATAATAAATGCTGATTGGTATTGGATTGTTGTTTCCGCATAGATGTAGTAAAAGTTACTTGCATTTACTGCAAACAGCCGACGGTGCCCCAGCTTCTATATCTAGTTTCATCCTGTATTTTTCATGTATTGCGTTCATGTTGGTATCATAGATGAGGGTCCAGCATCGTCATTTCATGGCAAGCCTTACTCTTTGTGTGGCTCACTCTTATCGTCTGTGCAAATTCACTTTCAGTGTGTAGCCTTGAAATATAGCGTTCCATTTTCAAGCAGCTATTACCTAATCTATTTAGCAAATACGATGGTTAAGGTAATTATCACTTCTTCGGCCCTTGAGCGTCTTTTTTCTTTGAAGACGTCAGTGAACAGAAAAGTGTCGAATACACCGTAAGTTTTTTAGTTGTTTTAAAACCATTACAGTTGTGCACCTCGTTTTCGGCAGGGTCGGCCATATCAAAACCTAGAATGCATCATTTCTTAAGAAAAAATTATAAACTGAAACGTGTTCAAGCCCAAATTGATTATCCCCGAATATAAGATTACATCGGTGCCGGAAACGAGGTGCACGACTGTACATGAATTCAACACAACATCACTGTGCTTATGATGGATGAAAATAAATTAAAGCATTTTGTTCTGTTCTCTAATACTGGTAGTATTTTGTTTTCCTTAAACATCTTATTTTATAAAATAACTTTAATTATTTTAATGATTATAATTGCCTTTAATGAAAGCAATAGTGTCCACAACTGACAATTTCGGAAGTATATCCGCGTCAAACGATTCGATGCATCAATTCGATCATAACTTGGGCAGCAGTTCAATAAGATAATGGCTCCATTACGCGGGAGGGAAGGGGATTAATGCCAGCATGGCACTGGCCTCCATCCAGGCAGCGCTGAGGACACAAAATCGCAGTTCAGACTGGCATCCGCAAGGATAACGCTAGGCCACATTGGAACAACGAAAGACTGATTGGTTAATTGATTTGTAGGCGCCACTAACGTTGGACTCACGTCGGTCGCAGCGCTCTTTACCCTGTTTGTAGTATTGTCTTACCGGCTGCTTCGAAATGCACCGATGAGATGTCGCTGGGAAGCGAAGACGAATGAATAAAATGTACCTGGCATATAAACTTCTCGTGCCAGGTGACTGGACTGTCAAAGGTAGACGCTCTTAGGCCACTCTCGCCAACTCCCACGGCTGCCACAAGTTGTCGTTGCTACTCTTCTTGTTCGCTCGCGGAGGAGACGCCATAGCCACGCCCGTGAGCTCGATCTCGTCGTCGCCAGAGTATACACTGCTGGCTGCGCTTCTGGCCTTACGCTCGTCATCCGAGAGGCCGTAGCGCTGCAGCTCGTCTCCGTGGATAAAGATGGGTTCGGCTGCCATACTCACGTCCGAAATGAAGCTCTCATTTCGACTTGCCACTCTCTTGTTCGAGTGGGGGCTCTCAAAGGCACTGGTGCCCACAGACAGCTCGCTCTCTGCCAGCGGTCGACGCGCCGACAGATTGCGAGGCTCGCTGCGGTGTTTCGACAGCTTCTGCTGATACGAGTTCGCCTCTTCTTGTTCCCGAAGATGACGTTGCTTTCTCTCTTCGATCGACTCCTGCAATGGCATGGACGAGAACTTGCCGCTCTGGATCTTTTGCTCCATGTTCGACTGCGTCGCCTTCTTCACCTTCGACTGTTTCTCCGGCAAATAGTCGTTAAAGGCGTCGTACGGATCGACGTCCTGGCGACTGCGTTGCTGTTGGTATCGTCGCTCAGTGGACGGATACGTTGGTCTCGGCTGTTGGTACGTTGACCTCGAGTTCGACTGCTGAGGCTGCGACGGTGCCTCTGTCGGCGGGCCAAGACTGGCTTGCTGTCTGCTATTGCGAGGGATATACATACTTTGAGTCATATCCGGATCCATGGGCGAGCTGGGTTTCATCCAGCTATTCTTCCGCATATGTGTCTGGCCTCTTGTGCTTGCCAGATTTTGTTCAGCAAAGGCTTCCACGGCCATAGACTCCCGGATAGAGTTCATGTCTGCGCCAGCCGACAGGTCGTCGCCTTCCAACACAAAGTTGCGCACAACCTCGAAGGCGTAGCCTCCACATGTGGGGCACTTGGGCGTCTTGGAGAAGGCCCAGGACGCCAGTAGGTTAATGAAGGAGCGTAGTGCTTTAACGCGATAGTTGACAACAGGCGGCGCCCTCGACGCGAAGAGGTGCTTCTTTGGAAAATCGAAGCGCTGGATCGAGTGCAGATAGTTGCGGCAGCCCGGACACTTGTCTGTGGACGAGGACAAGAACTTGACCAGCTGGTCGCGTAGCTTGAGGAACTCCGAGTAGCGGTGGCTCACCTCCCACGTCTGGCCGGTCGAGGTGAAGCGCCCCGCGATGCGGTAGTATGTTACGCCTTGGTGCGTCGCGGCCGAGAG